TCGTGAAAGTTGTATAACAACCCATGATTCTTCTCAAAATTGCTGACATCCATAAAACGTTATTCTACTTCTGCACCAATTTTGTCAATCAATACAAAAGAAGCCCTTACTCTTCCTCCTCAAAGTCATCATAGTCCTCCTCGAGTTCTCTCTGCCTGTCCTCAGTGTCAGATGCCTCTGAGGTGTGGTGCATGGACTCTGCTGTCCTGGGGCGTTCTCTTATGTAATCCTTGGTGAGGGAATTCAGGAGCTGTTCTCTTCTCAGAGAGGACTTACTGGGACTTGCCATGTAACAATGAGCATCTGGAAAGCAATCATGAATTTTTTTAAAAATTCATTTAAAAGCTTAAATACATCTATTACTTACAATTCAGATTAGATAATTGATGATGTTGGGTATCCCTCTCAGGTTCTTAAGTCAGTCTACTAAGAATGAAAGTGGTACTATTATCAGTCTTGTTACAAGCATGAATATCGAATACAACTGGATGAATAAACTACATGATAGTATTATCAAAAAACTGCCTATAAGAACACTTGATCATTCAGTTGAAATAACACATTAATGAGTTTTTACAACTCAACATCAAAGTTATTTGATTTGTTATTGTTTACTAGTATTGTAATTTACTTTGGGAAACTTCTTTTTTTTTAAGACTTAAAAGACTCAAGTCTGAAAAGTTTTAGGAAAAGATCCTCTACCTGCCACTATGCCCCTGCATTGTTCTATGGAAGGACCATCTAACACTACTGGCTCCAACAAAGGTTTCAACCTACAATATAACAAATTGTACATGTGAAAATATTCTTCTGGCAAAGATTTCAGTTTGTTGCAGCAAAGAAAAGACTGACACTTCCTTTTGATAAACAGCATCAATTATAAAATATTAAGAATATTTGTTGTAACTAGGTGATTGATCCATATTCTTTATACTTTCAGGCACAATTCACAAATAAAAACAAACTTAAACTTTGAAAATTGTGGATGAATGTTACAAAATACCAAAAGGTTTTCTGTAGCTCTGTTGATTATCAATGCAATTAATTCACCTGTGTTATGTATAAATTTACCTGAACAGATGACCTAACATTAAGTTCATTACTCAAATTGACAATTGTGTCTTACTTTCCCTTCCTCAGTCTCCCAAAGTGCTTGGTCTCCTGTTTGACAGGTTGCTGTGCCAGGACTCGGCTCACATGGTAAGTTGCTAAAGCTGTCTTCTCCTTGAGATCTTGTCCAGGAGCTACATTGCTCTATATGGTTTAATAAGACAGAAAATAGTACAATATACTTTAAGGGGATGAGACTATTATATTTTTCTTCTATTTCATTCATCTCAATTTTGTTGAATTCTTTTAAATAAATGGGGATGGGAGGGGAGACTACCTGTCATTTACCAAATTTGAGCTACATCAACTAAATTGTAAATTATATGATAATTATGTCGCGTCTTGAAAATTGACAAGTATGTTTAAGAAATATATCATTCTATCATGGGCCCTAAAAGTTTTTATTAGTAACATTTGTTGCCTTAACTTCTAAAACATAATTCACAAGATATGTAATATAAGTACCAATGTAAATGTTCATTTTTATTACTATGATCAATATAACCCATTCAGTACACTAAATGAGAGCAGCAACAACAGTAAAACTATAATTATGTTTATCAAAGTACATCACCAAAAACTCACCACTTCTAATTCAATAGTATTTGCATTCTGCTTGAAGGGAGATTTGATGTGTTTGTTGGCTTTAGGGTGCACTGTAACCACAGGGGACTTGTGGAAGGGCACTGCATTAGGAAACTTAATGAAATCTCCAGCCACACTTCCATAGGCTGCTGCCCTGGATTGCCTGGACGGTACTCGTCTATAACAGATCAGACAATGTAATTACTAGTAAGTGATAAACTTTTCTAAATAGGAGCTACTTGAAAAGTATATAAAATTTTGATGTATATACATGTAGAAGTTTCTAAGAAAATAAATCTTGGGTAAAAATCAAATATCAAATAAAAACAGACAAATAATAATTAGTAAAAAAAAAAAAGAAGAAGAAGAGGAAGAGCAGGACCAACAAGAGCAATCTGCAAATATGCACAGTAAGAGCTTTTCAACATTATTAACAAATATTACAATAAAATTCATATTCTAAATATTCACAATCAATAGTTTTTAAAAGTAACAACAAGAGCCTCAATTTTGTGTTTTACCTGGTGGATGCTGCAGAAGTCACTCTTCCTGTCTGAGAGGCTCTAGTGGCTCGAGTTGTCGTTGACCCAGGACGACTTAGAGGGACATTTAACCTGTTACTTTTCTGTCTAAGCTGGGATGGCTCTGCTGAATTAAATGTCATATTAGTCTCAGGGTTCACACTTTCTTATTATCAGGTTTTTTCCTCAGATTTAACAATCTATCAGTACTAACTAAGCATTCTGTAGACAGGTATTTCAATTGATTGTACACAATTAGACAGTTTAAAATCTATTAAATATAACAGCACCAGTGTAAAAAAAAAAATACAACTAATCAATAAAATACCAGTACAAGTACCTGCTTCTGCAGCTTGTTTCTCTGGTGGAAGAAGGTTGATTCCAAGGAAAGGGGAATTCTGAAAATCAAATAAATCCCATATAACATTTCCTGATTTATACACAGGTAAATAGCATGGATCCTGTTGTTTATACCAGAGTGTTATATCAGTACCAGGTGCTAGTAATGATAATAATATTAAAGTCATAATAACTCTTCGTTTTGGCCAAAAATTGGATTTTCCTGGAAAAAACGGCAATTTTCCCGTACTTACCAATGGTCAACGACCCCATTCCTGCATTCAAAGTTAATCCAGGGTTTTTTTCCTAAATGTACGGATTTTGCAAAGTCACTGGTGACCTACTTAAACTTAAAACCGCGGGAAAAGCAGACAACAACAACACTATATAAGATTCATGAGATATATTTGTCTTTTTGTTAAAAATGCATTTATATCCACAATGTGTGCCATTCTGGGCTTTTCGTTATCCAACGCACTGTACAAAAACTCGCAACTTACGTCTGCGTCCGCATTAATGCGTTTGGCGCCATGTTATTTTGGTCTCGAATGAACGCGAGAATCCGCGTGACACCATTACGTCATTAGCAACGAATGCCTTGATGACTGGGAA